CGAAAAAACCGAAGATCCATTCCCCCCGTCCTCGCCCCAAATCGAAGCCGCCGCGAGGGATCTCCGCTCCAAGCCCTCTTTGATTCCCCTCTGAGCCGCTCTCAAATCTGCAGCGAGTTCTCCGCCGCGAGTCCCCTCTGAGCCGCCGCCTTTTGAGAGCCTCCAGCCCCCCGTTCTGTGTGCGCCACCACCAGCCCCCCTTCCCTCCTTCTCATCTCTTCCGCGAGATCGAGCCGACCAAGCCGCCGTGAGTTCCATCTTGATCCCTCTCTCGAGCCGACCAAGCCGCCGCGAGATCTCCCCTCCCCCCGTCCTCCTCCCAAATCAACAACCGTCGAGAGATCCAGTTCGGCCGACCGCGATCTCGAGCCGACCAAACCGCCGCGAGATCTCCCCTCCCCCCGTCCGCCTCCCAAATCTGAGCTGCCGCGCACCTACAGCCGCCAACCCCAGCCCTGATTTCCCTGTCAGGTAAATTTTCAAAAATCTCTTCTCCCCAGAGCTTTAATTCAATATGCTTGTAGACTTTGTTGCTTGATTCCTTGTTCTTTTCTTTCTTTTTTATTTTTGTCAATTAAGTTAGATCTATAGTGGGAGGTAAAGGAATGTTGACTGTAAGCTTAATTACAGGAAATGTTGATATGGTATTTTGATATGGTATTTTGATAGCTTTGTGTTAGACAGACTCATTGTTATTATGCGCAAGATTAGGAGAATACATGGGCTGCCAGAGTAAAAATGATTAATAATATGCGCAAGATTGGGAGAATACATGGTATTTTGATAGCTTTGTATTTTGATAGCAATGTTGATATGTTATTATGCATCCTACAGCACTTTCATATGTGAGAACTGTTATAACCTTAACTGTACATGAGCTGCCAGAGTAAAAATTTATACAGCTAGGTCAATCAAGTTTGTAAATAACAAAGAATACATGGGCTCTCTTTTTTGGTCTTTAACTTCTTTGTTGTATTAGGTTTGGTTAATATTTTTCCATGAAAGTTCTTAACACACAAAGTTTGCATTTAGTACAATTATATGATTAATTTGTCATGTGATTTGCAGCTAAACGAAAATTGGTCTGGATTCTTGAGCACCACATGCATGGATTTGTGGAAGGTAATGGTTAATACATGCGAAATAACTTGTACATTACGATTTTTTTAAATATAACGTGTTTTTTTTAATGTTTTTAATACAGATGAAGTTCTCACTATTGCGTGAAATTTCTGTGCATAAATGGGAAGCTACTTGGAAATGTAGACTGGAAATGTACTATTGTTTTGAGTTTATTCTGTAATGGAAGCTACTTGGAAATGTAGACTGGAAATGGTTTTGAGTTTATTCTGTAATGGAAGCTACTTGAAATGTAGACTGGAAATGTACTATTGTTTTGAGTTGTCAGGTGTGCCTCAACAGAAGCGATGATGTGCAGAATATTATTTATCTTGCTGTTAGTGCATCTTGCTGTTAGTGCATGAATTAGTGAATATATATGTAGACATTTATGTTCTCATCTTGCTGTTAGTGCATCTTGCTGTTAGTACATTTTATCAAATTTCACATTGTGTGTTTTCATCTTGCTGTTAGTAGACATATTATTTATGTTCTCATCTTGCTCAAAAGCATAAATTAGTGAAGATTTATAGTGTTTTGTGTATGGATGGATGATGCTGTTACAACTTTCCCACTGCAATGTTCTCTGTAAGCACTGCAAGTTGCTGTCCTAAAAAGTAATGTAATGCTGTTCAGAAAATAAGCCAGTGCAAAGAGCATCTTTGACAGTAAAATGGCGATGCAAATCACGATACATACGTGGTGTCTACAAGAACATTTTTTATTACAGAATGGAGATGCTGATTACAATACCACATCTTCTAATGTCTACAATAACATCTCTGATAACCAAATGGAGATGCAAATGCAATAGAAAAAAGCTCAACAACAATTTGTAATGTCTAAATAACATTCTGTACAAGAAAAAAAGCTCAAAAACAAACCAAAGCTTGAGGCACAAATAGCAGTAAAGAAAAGATAGATAACTGTAGGAAAATTATTTTAAAAAAAAGATAACTGCAGAATAGGAACACTGAACAACTCATTAGCATCACCAATTCTTTGTACTGCAGATATGAAGCAAGATTGCTAATCAACATCACCAGTTCTTTACTACAGATATGCACACATTATAGAACATTTATGCTGGTTTCCCTTGCCCCAATTTTACTACAAACAGGTTGCATGTCTCTTTTTTATTTTTTTCAAACACTTTTACATGCTTCTTTACTTCTTTGCATTCTTTTTTCCTTTCTTGATCTTGAAAAAACGTACCTCTTCAATACTTTAATATCAGCAGAATGAGGCAGAGAACAAACCTCACTCAGTTTGTGCATCGGAAACTTAAATATGCAATACATGGAGAACATACACTTCAACAAATCCAATAATACATTCTTACACCCTACTTAGCACAAATCCAATAAAAATACCAAATACAAATCCTAGAAAAATACCAAATAAAAGAGCAAATATAACAAGCTTCAACAAATCCAAAATAGCAATCTCAATCTTTCTCTTTTCCCGCACTTCTCCACTTGACACGGCTCTTGAAACTTGCGGCGTCACGCTCGACTGCTTGGTCTGAACAAGCTCTGCCTTTGAACCTTCAAACTCCTCTTCATCAGACACCCATTTGAAGAGTATAACCCTCCTTCCACAATGGCACAACAGTCCATGACGATTGCTTGAAGATGACTCCATGATCCACGGCTACAGATACAAAAGATACCATCAAGCAATAACGACGATCACAATTGGAAACCATCAAACATAATGGGGAATAGTTGACTAAGGTACTCAATTCCCTGATACATGGCTAGTGAGATACATTACACAAGTTTAACTGGAATTACAACAGAAACATGCATTGGAAGTGTCATTGTCTGAGCAAAGTGATTTTGGTTCCTCAATTCCCTGACCAAAGTCTAGCAACTAATATTACACTAATAAAGTTCTGATATTTTACTAATTACGCCATCCACAAGAAAAAAATAAACCCTCTACCCCCTCGTACAAAAAATTAACCTGGATATTTTACTAATTACGCCAAGATGGATTGTTCAAGCACCTAGGACTATTATATAATCATTTTGGAGGTAAAAAAATTGCTAAATTAGCAAAAAATGGCAATCATAGAAACTTCTATGTTCTGTATCCCAATCTTCGACACCACGCTACGCTTTTTCATAAAGCTCCCGTAAAAACTAATAAATCAACATCCTCAATTACTTAAAATCCATACTTAAATTACGTAAAAACTAATAAATCAACATCCTCAATTACTTAAAATCCATACTTAAATTAGTACATCACCAAAAAACACTTTAAATCCCTACAAACAGATCTTACACAGTGTAAGAAATAGATGTAAACAAGCCTTTTTATGTTTATTTTTGTTGATTTTTCTTAATTAAGATGGATCGAGAGAGGGATCAAGAGGGATTTTTGGAAATGTTACCTGACAGAGAACTCTCGGCGGCACAGATGGAACTCTCGGCGGCACAAATGGAACTCGCGGTGGCACAGACAGAGGGGGGGCCGGAGGCTCTCGTGACGACTGTGCTTTTGGGGCTCGCGCAGGAGGAAAGGGGGTGGCGCCGGAGGAAGGGGGGCCGGAGGCTCTCGTGACGATTTTTGGGGGGTTTTAGTTTGGTAGGTGACGACAAGGTCCGCTCCTTACCAGCCTCCTCTTTACTTAGATCCTTTCCATAGGCCATCTGTGAGTTTTTATCTTCTTGTCATCTCTATTTAGTTCCTATGCTTTTATATATATATATATATGAACAGGGTACCTCACCATGTTTTTCAGTTTCAAAAAAAAACGGTTATAGAAAATCACTTTAAATTATTTTCCCTTCAAAATTAATAAAGAGAAATAAACAAACCTTTCGATTCGAAGAGAAATCTATTGTACAAGTCTACTGAGTAAATATTCCATAGTTTTATGGAAGCTTGGGGCTTTAGCATGCATATACGGTTTGTGAAGTTCTTGCCAATTATCCAACGAGGCAATTGCGTAAGAAACCTAACACGTTCTCTGTTGTGCGCGGCGCGGAAGCGGTCGAATCACACAATCCAAATAAGAGAGATCACAACCAAATAAACAAGCACAATCACCAAATAACACAAGAGATTTACGTGGTTCGACAAGTTGCCTACGGTCCACGGGGCAAGAAGGGGATGATGTTTTCACTAATAGAGAAAGAGTACAAACTGAGATTACAAATCACTCGAGGGAACAAACTAATCTCACCAACAAGCTCTTAATCTCTCCAAACCAAACCCTAAACAAATAGCTCAGAAAATACCTCTTTTCTGTGCTCCAAATATCTCCAATTTGCTTCTCTATTCTCTCTTCCAATTGTTCTATATATATAGAAATCCTAAAATCATAAACATACTAGGAATTCTAAACCAAAAGCCAAAACAAATTAGGAATCCTAATAACCTATTACCAAAATAGATTAGGAATCCTAATAACCTCATGTTACCAAAATAGATTAGGAATCCGCTATCCAACATTCTCTTGCATCATTCTCCAAAAGCGTTAAGATGTTTCATGTAACAACTTAAGCTCGAAGCACCGTCTCCTCTTAACTGCTCCGCCTACAAAAACAAGTGCTAATAAAAATGTCAAAAACATAATTTTTTCCTCTCTACCTCTCTCTTCTTATAGTTTCACTTTCTAAATGAATATCTATCGATAATTTGTAATTTATTTATATTATATATTAATATATATATATATTATATATATATATATATAATATAGTATAATTTATAATATATATATCATATAATATATATATATATATATATATATATATAATATAATACTATAATAGATATACCTTGTTAGTCCTAGACGACATCTGGAGAATCCTACCAGAGTTCGTGAAAAGAGTGGGGGGGCAAGAGTTAACCAAGTTCCGAGTTCTCCTTCGTAACTTGTTTTCACATCAAGAAGAACGCATGAACAAGAGCCGTGTAAGTTCTTGCAGTGTAACTCTTATCTCTAGCGTCGGTATACCTCCACCTCGAAAACTTCTTGCTTCTGAGAGAAAAAGATTCACATAAATCTACCCACTGCATAGAACATCACGAAATATCAAACAAATTTGACCTCTTATGACAACTTCTAGTAGTTCAGAGTGGCTTTCTATAATTTTGAAAATTCAAGGGCTCTTTGTCAATTTACTAGGGGGTTTATCGGCAACACACCAATGTTCATGTGGGTTTGTGAAATTCGCCAAATATGGATCGTATTGCCGTTTTCCTTGGATAGCTAGGGAACGGCGGTTATTCCATGTTTATCAGAGATTTTTGCGTCCAATCTCATTGGTTGTGTTATAAATAGCCATGCATGTATGAAACCTTCATGTACCCTGAGGTTCCTAGCTATTGCATCAAACCCCCATCTAAGATGATAGACAAAGTTCCAAACTTATATTTTATGCATGCATATATATGATACAATTGTCAATCACTAGCTAGCTAACTTTGTAATATGAACCTTTATTAAATGGCTTGGCGTGAAAAGAGCAATTTCTTCAATAGATCCGTAGATGTCATAAATATCGTCTACCACTAGTAAAATTGCGATGGTCTCGACCACTTCAACGCGACAAATTGAGAAGCTTGGCTCCGGGACCATAGAAAACATTCAAGAGGTCAATCGATCATCACAAGCTCAAGTTCTTTGCTAGACCTAAATCCCTCCACCAACTATAACAAAAATGGTCATATATGCATGAAGAAGATGTAGAATTTTGTACCGATCGCGAAAATGAAAATTTCAGTTACCCTGCTAGCTAGCTCATTGATTTCACTTTGGTACAATCTTTGTTTCGTGTCGAAGCCTAAAGTCGCAAGATCTAAAGAGGTTTGAGCTCCTACCATATTTCATTCGCTTGCTTCTCAATGTAACTCCTGGCCTCATACCTCTCCACCCTCCTACGCCTCAGGAAAAACTGAGGCAACTATTTATTCTTTAGCTATGCTAGCACTCATAACTCCCATAATGTTTATATAGATGTTTTTTGCTAAACATCATCGCTTTTGATAACAAATCCTCATCTGTTACACCCAAGAAAGAAGCCTCGTGTAGGTTTAAAAAAACCCGAGAGGTCCTTTCCCAATTCATCGTTGAAATCCCCTTCTTTGTCCATAAATTTATGAAAAGTATATGTATAGAATATATATGTTGAAACCATTGGAAAATTGAATGGCATATCTAAAGAGAGAGTGAAAAATACCGGTATACTGGCCTTGTACATTGTAGCCTCCTTACCTTAACTATATATCTAAATCGAAGGGAGGATAGGAAAAGATCATCTTTAATTATCGTCCTCTGCATGATAAAGGCTGGTCAAAATATCATTCTACTTTCTAATTAACTGCATTTTTTTTTTTTGTAAATAAATGTCGTAACTTTCTCCTGAATCTGAGATCTCATGTGATCTAGTCCACTGCTTTACTATTGGATTATGCACCAAGGACACCACAATGAGAAGAGTAAATTACAAGAAATCCCCGTAATGCATTTCTTTTCGAAGACCCGCTCATCTTAAAGTTCAACAAGAAATCCCCTAATGAAACATTAATGAGTCGCTAACTTCGCAATGGACTTTCATCCTTCAGATGTCTGGACAAATGTCTGCACCGTGATTAATAGACATTAGGACAGTCGTCTACACATCAGAATCTGTATATTATGTAAGTTGAAAGGAAAAGAAGAGCAAAGCTAGTTACTAGATAAAAATAAATTTTCTTTATCTAATGTCAGTCTTGCCATCCGGAAAAACAAAACTCCATTACAAAACTAACCATTTCATTAATGATCTTAGTTGAAGAATTTATAAGAGCCATGGGAGAAGAACATTCATGCACATAATCAATTAGTGATGAGCATGATGAAATATAAAAACCGTATATAAAAAGCTACAGCTAATACACCGTATAGATGATTTATGCATCATATAAATGAGTTGAAAACTTGCATGCCCAAGAGCTTCACTTGTCAAATTTAGTATTTTCAATGCAAGGATATGATTAATTTCAATAGTGTTGTGCTATAGCATGTTATATGTCTCAAGGTGCCTTGTGCCTTGGACACACTCCATTTTTTGATCATCTTCAAGTTCGATCAACGTCAGGGCTGCTTGTCTAATTTGTTTTTGAAATGTCTTAATCTTGGTAATATTCAAGTTATATCAGTAGTAATAAAATGATGTCCTATCAATTGTAAATCTTTTTCTAAAGTTTGTTTGTTTGTTTTTGCTTCTAAGTGATTGTATGAAAAACTCTAGCTATGATTGGTAAATTTTGGTTTTATCTTTAATATTTTTCGCATGTGAAATCAGTAGTTACATCTGGAAATTGAATTCATGTAGCTGACACTGGTATTCTGTTATAAATGCATCTCATTCCAGTTTGCTAAAGATAATGTTTACTATCTTCGGCAGAATAGGTGATATTTACAAATGGGGAATATATATACACTTGAAAACTGGAATGACCTAACAAAGTAATGAACCTTTTTTCTATACATTATCACAATCATTTGTAAATAGTAGAGGATTCTAAGTAACTTGTCTTATATCGGTCTCTGTCTAAAATATTTTTGAACCATTGAACAGATGATTTTGGTATCCTTGTGAGATTTTTCTTGTAATCAACAAAATAGAGTCCGAAACGAACTCTGTAGCCTGAGTTCCATTCCCAGTTATCAAGTAGAGACCAAACAAAGTATCCACGTACATCACATCTGTCCTCCCTGCACATATTAATTTGATTAGTAAATAATTTGCTTGTGTAGGTCATTATTGAAATTTATAGAAATTATAAAGAGAACAAAATTTATAGAATTTACAAACCTCCTTCCTCTATTCAAGAACCCCATAAGAAATTCAACAAAGGAACTATCATCCATGACCGTGAATGGAACTAATGATATCATTACTGATCATAGATGCTGGGTTTTTTTTTTTGATTCTTAGATGAGGGGTTTTCATGAAAACATATTGTTTTGAAAGGAGTTTTCTTGTAATTTTACCTTCAAAATACATTGTTATGGAATGATTAGCGAGATGATTTACAAAGTTTTCAATATGTCACACTTTCTTAGGACATGAGACTGATACATATAAATCAATTTCTGGAAAATTCAAATATTAGACTCTTTTGAAAGTTAATTCCCCCAAAGAAAAGAACTAAACAGAATATTTGAGAGTTGATAGTATTAGTAAATATTGTGATTATGATTACGACTAACATATTTTTTTCTCCTCCCTTTTCTAAGAAAGGAACCTAGGTTTTGCTCTGATATGCAAACTTTAGTTCACAAGAAATCATATATGATAATTTCAAATGTTCCTTACTCAAAGTCTATATTTACTTCTAATATTGGGAGATATACAATATTTTGGGCAGGTGCCGAAAAGGAGAGATTGGCTAGGAGACTCCGTAGGGCTGCATCAAACATCGGACTTCAGGAGCTTGCTAATAAGAATGTCGATGCCTCTGGGGACTACTTTTTCCCAAGTCCTCCAACTCACGCTTCACCATAATTCTGCTGGATATGGGATGCCTCTGGGGACTACTTTTTCCCAAGTCCTCCAACTCACGCTTCACCATAATTCTGCTGGATATGGTTACTTCCCCTTGTGTTGGAAAAACTGATGTTGTTTTCTTTCCTTATCTAAGTTGTTATGTCTTCTAGTATGCTACTATCATCTCTAGTATGTAAGTATGTAAGTATGTAATATGTGCCTTCTAGTTGTAGTATCGCTGCGGGTTCAGTTTGGTAGGTGACGACATATGTCCGCTCCCTATCTGCTTCACCCTCTGCGATTCTTCACCTAGTTGTGATGTCTATCTGTCATGTTTTGGTTTTCAATAATATCCTCATATGAGCAGGGCCTCAACCCTGCTTTTTCAGTTCAAAAAAAAAGTCTATATTTACTGAAGCTAACCTTATCGCTGCAGACAAATTTGAGAGATAGTCATTATGGTATTGTATCCTCTTATCATCCTTCAGAGCTTTCTTTAGGCTGATAAATGGGTTATTTAGATCATCCATACCTGCAAAAACCAAATACTTCTTTAATTTTTATTTTGGAGTCTAATAAAGGATAGTCATAAAAAAAGCAACATTGACAATGCAATATAAACATTAATTACCATTTTCTGTAATAACAATCACAGGATTCTTATATTTTTCTTTGATATATTTCATCAACTTGCGGATACCCCATGGAACTATGTGCAACCATAATGATGCAGCCTGGGGGGAAAAAGAAATCATCCTGAATTAGTGTGAGGTTTATTTAACAAGAAATGAGTAGGATTAAAATTCACTAAATTAAAAAAAGGTATTATCTTGGTATATCTGCAAGTTACTTTGTGTTATCAAGGAGATTCTTTTATGAATACTCAATACATGATTACAAGGTTTAGGCCTATCATCTGTCATTAGACACCTTGACCAGCTAATTAGTGGAGTGGTGCTAAATTTATACATTTTAATAACTTACTAATCCAAACATACAAGAATTTAGAAGAATGCAAAGTAGCAAATAAACTAGATTCAGATATAAGAGTTTTAGGAGTAGCTTAAGATAGTTTTTAAGTAACATACTTGTTTTCGTCAAAAGTTGGTTTTGTTATGGAATTCATTATATCTTCGGTCGATTACAACAAATTCAAAAGAAATAGCCTTTTTATAAGACTTCTTTTACACAACAAAAGAAAAATTACAACTTTTTAGAAACAAACGCAGGATCGTTGTTTGGATCGCTGCTTGCGTGGGATCTTTGCCTGTGCCGGGAGCGCTTTGACTCGTGGACCACCAAATCACAGATTCTGATTGAACCGTGAGGGGTTTAATGATTCTTCCTTCGTTTATCGAAGTAAGAATTTGAAGCGAATATCTTATCGATGTAAGATGTTCACTCTTCCAAAGATCAAGTCTGAGCTTAGATCTCTAGGAATGGCCAAAAGCTTCTTGAGGATGTTTGTGAAGAAGAAAGACTCTCTCTCTTGCTCTAATTCACCAAAACTCAAGGCTCTCTGCTCTAATCTGCTTTGGAAATGCTCCGCCACGTGGACTTTAAATAATCATCAGATAACTGTATTATAACTGCTGTAGCATCCTGCTTTAACTGCCGCGGCACCATAGGTTGCAGCGGTTAAGCCGCGACACCATAGGCTGCCGCGCCTTAGCCGCGGCACCTTGGTCTGCCGCGCCTGGACTTTAAATAATCATCAGATAACTGTATTATAACTGCTGTAGCATCCTGCTTTAACTGCCGCGGCACCATAGGTTGCAGCGGTTAAGCCGCGACACCATAGGCTGCCGCGCCTTAGCCGCGGTACCTTGGTCTGCCGCGCCTTAGCCGCGGCACCTTGGTCTGCCGCGCCTTAGCCGCGGCACCATGTCCTGCCGCGCCTTAGCCGCGGCACCATGTCCTGCCGCGCCGCCATATGTTGCTTGATGACGTGTATATTATTCTTCTATATCGTCTTGAGTGGTGTTTGAATGTCTGTAAGCATTTTTTGACGCCTACAATACTCTTTCACCAATCCTCTCTCTATGTCGATAAGCTGTGACAAAATGCAACATTGTGATAAGTTAAAATATTTAGACCGAAGAAACTAACAATAATTTTTTTTCAATATCTTACCAGTTTTGATTACACCAGCATCAGTTGATGCATCGTTCATCACAATCTTCCTTATTCTGCTTTGATCGTTTCGAGCATATAATGTTGTATAATGGTTGATGCCTACAAAATCCAATGAACCAGCCAATAATTTAGACATCTCACTTGTGAATTTTGGAAGCCTTTTGCCCACTAATCTCTGCATTGAATGAGGATACTGTCCAAAGATTAAAGGGTCCAAAAACCTGTTTCAATTCGTTGGGAGATAATCAGGTTATTCTTAAGAATATTCTGAGTAATATTCTCCAGAAACTTCCTGTTGATGGTAGGGAAACAGTTTAGACTCGTGTACCTATTGGAGTAATATGGTCTCTTTTTTGTTGGCAGAGATGAACCCGATGATGGAGAGGAAGAATTTTATATTCTATCTCCTGGTCTCTTGTTTGTTGGTAGAGATAAACCCAAAATCGGAGAGGAAGAATTTTATATTCTATCTCCTGGTCTCTTGTTTGTTGGTAGAGATAAACCCAAAATCGGAGAGGAAGAATTTTATATTCTATCTCCTGATACAAAGGAAATTTGAAGTGGGATTTCTATTCAGAGAATCTGAATAAGGTTTGATCAATTGAGATTGGAAGCAATCCTAACTTTTATAGGTTTGATTGCGCAAATCGAAGGTGGACCTCTTGTTCATGGAAGGAATCAAGAGGGGATTTTGGCTTTGGTCCTTTGTTGGTAGAGATAAACCCGGAATCGGAGAGGAAGAATTTTATATCCTATCTCCTGGTCTCTTGTTTGTTGGTAGAGATAAACCCGGAATCGGAGAGGAAGAATTTTATATTCTATCTCCTGGTACAAAGAAAATTTGAAGTGGGATTTCTATTCAGAGAATCTGAATAAGGTTTGATCAATTGAGATTGGAAACAATTCTAACTTTTATAGGTTTGATTGCGCAAATCGAAGGTGGACCTCTTTTTTAAGGAAGGAATCAAGAGGGGATTTTGGCTTTGGTTCTAACTTTAAAGGTTTGATCGTTCAATTTGTGGACCTCTCGTTTATGGAACGAATCGAGAGGGGATTTTGGCTTTGGTCCTAACTGTTTAAAGGTTTGACCAAGATGGGAATTTAAGACGATCCTAACTGTTTAAAGGTTTGATCGTTCAATTTGTGGACCTCTCGTTCATGGAACGAATCGAGAGGGGATTTTGGCTTTGGTCCTAACTGTTTAAAGGTTTGACCAAGATGGGAATTTGAGACGATCCTAACTGTTTAAAGGTTTGATCGTTCAATTTGTGGACCTCTCGTTCATGGAACGAATCGAGAGGGGATTTTGGCTTTGGTCCTAACTGTTTAAAGGTTTGACCAAGATGGGAATTTGAGACGATCCTAACTGTTTAAAGGTTTGATCGTTCAATTTGTGGACCTCTCGTTCATGGAACGAATCGAGAGGGGATTTTGGCTTTGGTCCTAACTGTTTAAAGGTTTGACCAAGATGGGAATTTGAGACGATCCTAACTGTTTAAAGGTTTGATCGTTCAATTTGTGGACCTCTCGTTCATGGAACGAATCGAGAGGGGATTTTGGCTTTGGTCCTAACTGTTTAAAGGTTTGACCAAGATGGGAATTTGAGACGATCCTAACTGTTTAAAGGTTTGATCGTTCAATTTGTGGACCTCTCGTTCATGGAACGAATCGAGAGGGGATTTTGGCTTTGGTCCTAACTGTTTAAAGGTTTGACCAAGATGGGAATTTGAGACGATCCTAACTGTTTAAAGGTTTGATCGTTCAATTTGTGGACCTCTCGTTCATGGAACGAATCGAGAGGGGATTTTGGCTTTGGTCCTAACTGTTTAAAGGTTTGACCAAGATGGGAATTTGAGACGATCCTAACTGTTTAAAGGTTTGATCGTTCAATTTGTGGACCTCTCGTTCATGGAACGAATCGAGAGGGGATTTTGGCTTTGGTCCTAACTGTTTAAAGGTTTGACCAAGATGGGAATTTGAGACGATCCTAACTGTTTAAAGGTTTGATCGTTCAATTTGTGGACCTCTCGTTCATGGAACGAATCGAGAGGGGATTTTGGCTTTGGTCCTAACTGTTTAAAGGTTTGACCAAGATGGGAATTTGAGACGATCCTAACTGTTTAAAGGTTTGATCGTTCAATTTGTGGACCTCTCGTTCATGGAACGAATCGAGAGGGGATTTTGGCTTTGGTCCTAACTGTTTAAAGGTTTGACCAAGATGGGAATTTGAGACGATCCTAACTGTTTAAAGGTTTGATCGTTCAATTTGTGGACCTCTCGTTCATGGAACGAATCGAGAGGGGATTTTGGCTTTGGTCCTAACTGTTTAAAGGTTTGACCAAGATGGGAATTTGAGACGATCCTAACTGTTTAAAGGTTTGATCGTTCAATTTGTGGACCTCTCGTTCATGGAACGAATCGAGAGGGGATTTTGGCTTTGGTCCTAACTGTTTAAAGGTTTGACCAAGATGGGAATTTGAGACGATCCTAACTGTTTAAAGGTTTGATCGTTCAATTTGTGGACCTCTCGTTCATGGAACGAATCGAGAGGGGATTTTGGCTTTGGTCCTAACTGTTTAAAGGTTTGACCAAGATGGGAATTTGAGACGATCCTAACTGTTTAAAGGTTTGATCGTTCAATTTGTGGACCTCTCGTTCATGGAACGAATCGAGAGGGGATTTTGGCTTTGGTCCTAACTGTTTAAAGGTTTGACCAAGATGGGAATTTGAGACGATCCTAACTGTTTAAAGGTTTGATCGTTCAATTTGTGGACCTCTCGTTCATGGAACGAATCGAGAGGGGATTTTGGCTTTGGTCCTAACTGTTTAAAGGTTTGACCAAGATGGGAATTTGAGACGATCCTAACTGTTTAAAGGTTTGATCGTTCAATTTGTGGACCTCTCGTTCATGGAACGAATCGAGAGGGGATTTTGGCTTTGGTCCTAACTGTTTAAAGGTTTGACCAAGATGGGAATTTGAGACGATCCTAACTGTTTAAAGGTTTGATCGTTCAATTTGTGGACCTCTCGTTCATGGAACGAATCGAGAGGGGATTTTGGCTTTGGTCCTAACTGTTTAAAGGTTTGACCAAGATGGGAATTTGAGACGATCCTAACTGTTTAAAGGTTTGATCGTTCAATTTGTGGACCTCTCGTTCATGGAACGAATCGAGAGGGGATTTTGGCTTTGGTCCTAACTGTTTAAAGGTTTGACCAAGATGGGAATTTGAGACGATCCTAACTGTTTAAAGGTTTGATCGTTCAATTTGTGGACCTCTCGTTCATGGAACGAATCGAGAGGGGATTTTGGCTTTGGTCCTAACTGTTTAAAGGTTTGACCAAGATGGGAATTTGAGACGATCCTAACTGTTTAAAGGTTTGATCGTTCAATTTGTGGACCTCTCGTTCATGGAACGAATCGAGAGGGGATTTTGGCTTTGGTCCTAACTGTTTAAAGGTTTGACCAAGATGGGAATTTGAGACGATCCTAACTGTTTAAAGGTTTGATCGTTCAATTTGTGGACCTCTCGTTCATGGAACGAATCGAGAGGGGATTTTGGCTTTGGTCCTAACTGTTTAAAGGTTTGACCAAGATGGGAATTTGAGACGATCCTAACTGTTTAAAGGTTTGATCGTTCAATTTGTGGACCTCTCGTTCATGGAACGAATCGAGAGGGGATTTTGGCTTTGGTCCTAACTGTTTAAAGGTTTGACCAAGATGGGAATTTGAGACGATCCTAACTGTTTAAAGGTTTGATCGTTCAATTTGTGGACCTCTCGTTCATGGAACGAATCGAGAGGGGATTTTGGCTTTGGTCCTAACTGTTTAAAGGTTTGACCAAGATGGGAATTTGAGACGATCCTAACTGTTTAAAGGTTTGATCGTTCAATTTGTGGACCTCTCGTTCATGGAACGAATCGAGAGGGGATTTTGGCTTTGGTCCTAACTGTTTAAAGGTTTGACCAAGATGGGAATTTGAGACGATCCTAACTGTTTAAAGGTTTGATCGTTCAATTTGTGGACCTCTCGTTCATGGAACGAATCGAGAGGGGATTTTGGCTTTGGTCCTAACTGTTTAAAGGTTTGACCAAGATGGGAATTTGAGACGATCCTAACTGTTTAAAGGTTTGATCGTTCAATTTGTGGACCTCTCGTTCATGGAACGAAACTTTGAGGATGAGGATGACAGATATTCCTCAAACTTTGCTTGGTCGAATTCATATTCAACCATGGACTCAACCAGTATCTTGATCAGCTGCGACACGACGGTCTCGGCAGCGAGACCGTTGGCTCCCACTGTGGTCGCCAGCTTGTTTGCGTCAAAAGTTGGTTTTGTTATGGAATTCATTATATCTTCGGTCGATTACAACAAATTCAAAAGAAATAGCCTTTTTATAAGACTTCTTTTACACAACAAAAGGAAAATTACAACTCTTGAGAAACAAACGCAGGACCGTTGTTTGGATCGCTGCTTGCGTGGGATCTTTGCCTGTGCCGGGAGCGCTTTGACTCGTGGACCACCAAATCACAGATTCTGATTGAACCGTGAGGGGTTTAATGATTCTTCCTTCGTTTATCGAAGTAAGAATTTGAAGCGAATATCTTATCGATGTAAGATGTTCACTCTTCCAAAGATCAAGTCTGAGCTTAGATCTCTAGGACTCGCTAGAAGCTTCTTGAGGATGTTTGTGAAGAAGGAAGACTCTCTCTCTTGCTCTAATTCACCAAAACTCAAGGCTCTCTGCTCTAATCTCTCTGGAAAATGCTCAGCCCCTGTCAATGATGGCTATAGGGGGGTATTTATAGCCTCCTTAGACGATAACTGAAGAAATAGCTGGTCAATAACTGTCTCTTTAGGCGCGGCAGCTGATGCTGTCGCGGCTAAAGGGCGCGACAGTCGACACTGTCGCGGCCAAAGAGCGCGGCAGTCGACACTGCCGCGGCTAAAGGGGCAGTTACACCCACGTTCATACGTGTTTGAAACAGTTCTCCCACGACCTTTAACCACCTTTTTCGTGGTTTAACTGCTTTTCCACATCAGCACACGTTCTATTTCTGATACTCCGCCACGTGGACTTTAAATAATCATCAGATAACTGTATTATAACTGCTGTAGCATCCTGCTTTAACTGCCGCGGCACCATAGGTTGCAGCGGTTAAGCCGCGACACCATAGGCTGCCGCGCCTTAGCCGCGGCACCTTGGTCTGCCGCGCCTTAGCCGCGGCACCTTGGTCTGCCGCGCCATAGCCGCGGCACCATGTCCTGCCGCGCCGCCATATGTTGCTTGATGACGTGTATATTATTCTTCTATATCGTCTTGAGTGGTGTTTGAATGTCTGTAAGCATTTTTTGACGCCTACAATACTCTTTCACCAATCCTCTCTCTATGTCGATAAGCTGTGACAAAATGCAACATTGTGATAAGTTAAAATATTTAGACCGAAGAAACTAACAATAATTTTTTTTCAATATCTTACCAGTTTTGATTACACCAGCATCAGTTGATGCATCGTTCATCACAATCTTCCTTATTCTGCTTTGATCGTTTCGAGCATATAATGTTGTATAATGGTTGATGCCTACAAAATCCAATGAACCAGCCAATAATTTAGACATCTCACTTGTGAATTTTGGAAGCCTTTTGCCCACTAATCTCTGCATTGAATGAGGATACTGTCCAAAGATTAAAGGGTCCAAAAACCTGTTTCAATTGTCTTATGTTATACTCAAACTACAGTAATGTATGTATTAGTTTGTGTTAATATAATTAGTTGATGTTTTTACCATCCTAACTCAAAGTCCATTGCTCTGCGAGAAGCGTCGATGTCTACATTATCGTCAGATATTGGTTCATACCATTTTGAGTCCAAAGCAATCCCGATAGCACCATCTTGCTTTCCCTGAAAATATAGATCTTTTTTTTTGTTTTTTGAGAATTTATGGTGTATAAATCCCTCGTAAATTTTTTTTATTGAGAATTTATGGTGTATATAAATCTCTCGTAAATTTCATGAGTACGAGTCTAACGAAATCTTTTTCTCACATACAAGAACAAAACTACAAATTAGGATGTATAAGTACAGAAATGTAAACTAATGTCCAAGTTGAAGGCTATGGAGATCATTCATATGTTTTCTATTCTATCTTCATCTGATGAGAATGATATTTCTTTGTGATGTACCAATATAAGTTTAAGTAAAATTATTTCTTTGTTGCAGGACTCTAATCCAGTTTACACTTGCAACAAGTGTTCTAGGATTGTGTTTCACTTAAAGCAAAACTAACATATACTAGGCTATTATAGAAAGTCCTACAATCGAAAACTATAAGAAATGAAAGATTTTTAGAGGAAAACTATTGAAATGAAAAATATAAGAATGGAAAACTATTAGAGAGAAGCACACTATATTTACCACCAACCATTAGTTTAATATGTATTTTTATCTGCTAATTATCTAAAAGCTTAAGAGTGCATATAAAAACAGTTTTAGTATAGTTAATGAATCACCTTAAAGTGAACCTTGTAAGTATGAAATGCTGCTGCATGAGCTAAAAGCATATTATGTGCAACAATATATGGTTCAATTGATGAATTTCCCTCTCCACAAAACAAGTGAGATAATATCGAACACCTCCCGGGAGCTTGAACGCCGGTATCATAACCTTGGAGAGAGAATCCATGGGGCTCATTGAAAGTGATCCAGTGTTTCACTCTATCACCAAAGGCTTCAAAGCATGTATAAGCATAATTCTCAAAATCTTTTCTGCAGTTTGAAAGATACATTTGTGTTAATGAACAAGTTTACATGAACATTTTTTCGTTATTATATCTTACATTATTTGTTTGCTAAGCCAGCCATCATATCTATCTTCAAGAGCCTGTGGAAGATCCCAGTGATAAAGAGTAACATATGATTGTATTCCTGAAACATGACGAAAAAATTTATCAGAATTTGATGACATTGATGAATCAAGTGAGAGATTTAACAAATTTTACCTTTGTCTAGAAGAGCATTAATCAGGCTATTGTAGTAATCTATTCCTTCTTGATTTGGTTCCCCAATGCCATCTGTAAAATTATCAATAATTTTTTTTTTTGAAAAATGGATTGATAAGTTTTTGGGTTTGTGATTTCAAAGATCCAAGAAGTGAATACCAACATAAATATGTTTGGAGAGAGAATTCAGGGAAATTTACTTTACTTGGAAAGATCCGTGGCCATGATATCGAGAATCTATATGCGTCCATTCCCATGTCTTGCATCAAGTCCACATCTGTCTATTAAATATGAGCAATATGCAGATTCAACAACGTATAAATTACCAAATGTGATTAACGTCACAGTAATTTCTTTTCCATCATTAAGCACCTACTTCCTTGTAACAACATTGTTTAATATTTTAGTATATAGCTTTAACTAAATTAAAATACTTTTTATGGAAACACTTGGCAAAACATAATCTTCTGCTTTTCAAGCTAAATATGTTCTTGTTGAATTGTGACACAGTTTGAGGCTGTGAAATCAAAAACCTTACTCATGCTCGAGATAATGAAAACAGACTGTCTATTTGGTCTACAAAGGGGGAAGTGCATCTATTTACTTATGTTAGGTACATAAGAAAAAGATATTGTGAGAGTCCAAGGCAGTCATAAGATTTGAGTGCAATATAAAGAGGACCTATAAAATTGTTATAACCAAGAAATGCCCGAAATGCCCAAGAACAAGGAATTTTTGGTATTTAGCACAAAGGAGAAGAATAAGAGTATTGCCAATAATATCAAGCATAAGAATATTATCACTTGAACTTAAAGATGACAACAATATATCCTATGCATAAACAGTATTGTAGACAAGGAGGGGATTTTGTGATGGAGACGGGCACTAGGTTCAATTTTTGCTTCCTAATTATGCACTATCAAATATATTCTCTTTTGAGTAACACGATAGTTAATTGTCAATTGCATATTATTTTGCAATTTTCCACCTGATATAATAGGAAGGATACCTTCCATCTATTGTCTTACATGTTGTTGATCATACCTTTTTATGTAAAAGACCCTGCAATGTTAGGTTGCTTGTATTTGTGTACATTCTATATAAGAAAATTATGTATTTAAACAGAACATTTAGTTCTTGGTGTAAAACCTAAGTTGAAAGCAACAATTCAAGATAACTGTTATATGCTTATATCATGTAAGGACAAGTCACAAGGCATAAACTAACACCTTTAGAGAAGTTTCTTTAAAGAGTTGTGTAGCGACTTCATTGTGGGTTTATTGGAAAAAAAAGAGAGAACCAAATCCTTAAACCGATGGTACTGATCCACCGCAATATCCGCATTGCTAAAATCCAGAATTCTCCCTGTTATATTCATATAAGTTATAACCAAGCCTTAAATACCTATAGCCCTTCGCAAGAAGATCACATATAATTTGGTCTTAACAAGAAAATGGGGAAGAAATTTCAGAACTCAAAAACACTACAATACTAGTAAAACTAATAACAATTTTATGAGAGTTCATCTATAAATTAAAAAATCGATTTACATATGGCATCCTATCCTTTTATCATCATGTAGGTAAAGAATTAGAGGCCGAGTTATAAGTAACATAGAGAGCAGCTCTTTCATTATTCATATAACTCAAACATCTATATGAAATCCAACATCATACCCGGTTTCCTTGTGAAGGTATCCCATATGCTTACTCCTTTCCTCCCTTCATTCACAGCTCCTTCAAACTAAAACAAAATTACAAGTTTTTCAGGTTAAAATCAAATGGGCATGCAGGGATGTGCACGTGGATGTGCACGAGGGATACCTGATAAGCAGAAGAAGCTGTTCCAAACACGAAATTGTCAGGGAATTCTGATCTATCAATGGCTTCAATGGTGAAGAAGAAGCTGAAGCCAAGATATAACATTAATGTAGCCCTCCATATGAAAGCCATAGGTAGCTATCAAAATTGGTGCTAAGATGCTTTAGAGTGGTTAGAGGCTGACTTTATAAAGAGAGAAGGGATATTGTGAAGTTCGAGAATATATGTGACGTATTTAAACTATGCTTTGTGTCTAAGCCAATTCTGACATAGAGCTCATACATTTGAAGGGAAGCAATTAATAGTAGATGATTTGATAATGACTAGTAAAACGTTGACTATCAAATATAAAATTTGAAATCTTATGTGGTAATTTCTTATCAGAATGAAGAACCTCAAGACATCAATTAGAATTGAATGCATCTTATCAATAATGTATATTGCTTGTATCGGTGTATGCATCCAACAAGTCATGTCCTTTTCAAGTAATTAGCCAAAGATTCAATCTTATTCTAATTTTTGTTCATTATTATTTTTGGTATATTCAGGGAGTTTTACAGAAAAAAGTCAATTACACATTATTATTGAATATGTCACTAAAATTGTACTTATTGATCGTTGTCCATATTTTTGTCTCCTTTCCATTTCTCCTTGTAACCGTTTATATAGTATCAACAACTCGTGCTTATCATTATAAAGCAAATTGAGCCTGTTGACTGATTAAGGGATTCATCATTATCTTGCAAGTTCAAATTAATTTCTATAGTTTCCTTTCCTTGTAGGAGTCGAAATATTTTGGTCATAAGACAGGCGAAGCATGGGGCGAAGCTCGGGGCTTTTGGGAGTTCAAGAAAAAGACTGCACGCAAAAACCTCAAGGCGCTTGCAAGTTAGTCTTTGTTATTTCAAGCAAGAGGGGGCTCAGAAGTTGATATGGGATTATGTTTTTTTTTTCTTGGGAAACATGGGATTGTGTTAATGACACATTAATATGATCATAACATGTAGTCTTAAGAAATTGTTTTTAACTTGCAGTTGCATATTTGAGCAGGTTCTATTTTTCATGTTTCATTATATAAGTTTATAATAATTAGGGTTGGTGTTTGATGAGCTAGATAAGGATGAATCCAGTGATAAGCTTCAGAACAACAGGTGCAATTTGTTGCAAGCTTCTGAAAAAAGATGTGCAGGTAAGTTAAGTCCCCCAAATTATGATACTAAAATATAAGCCCTTCGATTAGTTTAGATTACATCTGGTGTTTATTTTATTTTACTTCTTTTTATTTTTATTATTGTATTATTTATTTATTTTTTTGGTTGAGTAGAATAGATTTACTATCCAGCAAAATTAACCCTTCTAGAGTGTGAGTGATAGAAAACTACGTCACAACAACTTTTAAGCAGATGAACCAACAAAAATAATCAACATACGCCCCTAAATTAACGAACATGTCTTGAACATTAATTTCATCAGGAATAATTAGGTTCTGCTAGTTATAGGAATCCAGGATAGTTTTCAGTTCTAATCGCAGATAGTGGCAAATTAAAATAGCCGATAACATTTGAACACGCCAAGAGGTAAATCGAATTGCAATATAAAAGTTCAGACACTATTACATACCAAAATTTATGTTCAACATAATGCACGTCATTAACCATGCTTACATCTTTCAATCACAAACAGGTTCAACTTATACATAAGAAGATTTAACCACCAAGAATGTATCGAAATGGGCACACCCTTTGCTTCACTTGGAACACAGAATAATCTTAACAGTCTATAAACTTAAAATTATATTCTCTGGCAGAACCTTGAATTTATTAATAATAACCCGATGAAGGATAGCCAGATTGAGTTTGAGACATGGAATCCTGAGGAGGAGATGGTGGAGCTCTCGGCCTTGCATACTCTGCGAAGATAACCCATCCATCGAGAAACTGCAAGCAAACTTGATAGTGTCAGAGAACGAAATAAATAGAGCACAAATTTCTGGTCATGTATAAAGACCAACTTAACTAGGATCACAAAGAATTAGCTGATTTATCAAAGAGGATTATACTAACACGAAATAAATAGAGCACAAATTTATCGTCATGTATAAAGACCAACTTAACTAGGATCATAAAGAGTTAGCTGATTTATCGAAGAGGATTATATTACTCCTTAAATTTAAATATACCAGAAGAGTCCAGCTATGTCCCCAGTGGTATACTGACACGATTATGGCGCCGACTTGGGTGAGAAATTATGCGAGAAGGTTTGAGAACCTATAAACTCTAAATAAACACGGCTAGTAGGGAAACATTTTCTTTCTTCTTCTTCTTCTTTTTTTGTTTTTGATTTTTGATTTTTTTTGTATTTTGTTTTGGTTGGGGGGGGCGGCGTGGGAGGGTGTTTAAGGCGGTTGTTTTGGCATGTCAGAATTGCAAATTCCACAAAGTTTGTATGCAGAAAATGCAGCATAAACATTCGTCGCAAGGAGATTTAACCACAAATCATTTCATTTGGATACTTGATTGTTGAAAGAAATGTACTTCCAAGTACAAGTCTTAAGTATTTGGCTAGTTGCAAAAGTTGTTGGGTTTGCATTTTTTTTGTTCCAAAAAATGCATCTTAGTTGCCGCTCAAGTGTTATTTATTTACACTTTATGTTAAGACTCCACTGATTTGAAATGATTATCATATTCATGGAATTGCAGCATTTTTTTTCCTACAAACTGAAATTATAATAACATTTTACAAAGTATTATGTTGCTTAACCAAATATTGAAAATAGAAATTTGGAGCATTTGCTACTGCATCTCTATTTCATGATTTCATCTAAACCAACTCCTTAGATTGGAAACTGGAGTTAAAAACCAATATAAAGGTCGGCATTGAAAGTTTTGTACTAACCTGGCCATCCATACCCATTCTGCCTGCATCTGCATCTTCTAAAGTAGCATATCTCACAAAACCAAACCCCTTGGAGTATCCAGAAACACGATCTGTTACAACTCTAGCTGTGAATTGCAACAAACAGGAGATCATTATCTTGGGAACTTTATTGTTGTTGTCAATTGTCACTACTATTGATCTTCAGAAAGTAAATATATATTGAAAATTTTGGACAAAGATCTTAAATTGTTGTTTTTCTTGTTACACCAAAGGCAAGAAATTTGTTTTCAGAAAAAAGAAACATACCGTGCACTACTTGCCCAAACTTTGCAAAGGCTTCCCTTAAGCCCTCTGATGTAGTTCTCTTGCTAAGACCTGCATCGCCTCTTGTTAGAATCAATTCGCGGATTATGAATATTAAACCACATAAATATGAAGTAAGAGCCGTATGAAATAAAGTTACTAGAGCAATTTTTTTCAAATAGAATCTCAAGATCCGAAGACTTTTTAAATGTTATGATAAGCTAAGTATAGCTTGAGAAGGGGAAGTTTCCATGTGATGAAACTGGTAGTGAAGCACGCTGCAAGGACTTCAAAGAAGCCATTCATAAAAAGAAACAAAGAAAAAGGGGAACCTTATTTTGCATATAACATAAAAGGCTACCAGCTCATGCACTTCCTTCATTAAAAAGTTGTAAAATAAAATCGATGTCCAAGCCATTTCAGAGGTAAAAAGCTTTTCCAATAATGTTATTATCAATTATCAAATGAATTTTTTTTAACTCACTTTCTTCTCTACCCAATAGAGGAAATCTTACCCACACACAAAGCCAGAGGCATGGTTTGGTAGGGGGTGATCGGAGGGGGGTGAGGGGCAAAATATGGATTTGTCTTTGCTAGGAAGCTTTTAAGAGGGAGATGGAGTGAGAATAGGTACAACATAACTAAAAAGCTAAACTGAAGAATCCCGCAAATTGGGAGAACATAAGGGTAGAGAGAAAATGAACTACAACAGGATGCATCTCACCTCTCCTCCCCTCTCTCTCTCCAAACATGAAGGCTAAAATCTAGGTTACCCGGACACTTCATTTTAGGTGCCGTATCCATGTCGGATAGGTGTCAGACACAGATTCACTGCGGACACACCATGAACACATGTGGTTCAAATTAAAACCCAATTTTCCCATAACTTATAACCCTAAACTAGTATCTTTGATATATCAAGCTCAAAATCAAGAGGTTTTTGAAGTAAAAAATAAAACCCATTAGTTAGAGATTTGAAAAGTACCCACTATATCCCATGCGGTCAAAACTAAACTTTGATTGTTAAACCTTAATATTTAGTTTGTTTGATTTAACTTGATTCTTAATTGTTAAAGATAGTAAATGATAGAAACATACAATTGTTGTAAGTATCTTAGTTCAATATTTGATGTAATGTAAATGTGCCTACTTGTATCCCCGTATCTTGTCTTCTACAAACTTGTCAAGTCCCATGTGTCCTCACCCACACCTGTATTTGTGCAACCCAAGCTAAAATCGATGTCTATCCCTCCATCTCATTGCACCTCCCCTTCCCTCCCCTCCTCTCCTCAAACCCCTTTACTAAACCAAGCCAAGAGCTAAGGCACTATTCCCAGAGCACTTTTCCACTTTCATAATATTTGGGGACATAAATGTGCCTTATAAAGAAAAAAAAACTTTGTTCTTTTAGCTTAACAAATGCGTTGTTTACACATATACATTGCACACTATTAAAATAATCTTATCATCGCTTTTAGACAGTTCAAGTGATTAATAGGAAGAGAGTAAAATGATCACTTTAACGATCAGGTGACCAAATCATTCAATAACATATACAACTACAAACATCATCACAAGAGCCAGGCAAAAATTTTACACAAGAACCTGACCATGCTGTTCATGTGTGCATAATATACGAACTATCAACATTAATAAACAGCCATTAGCATAATAAGTTTAATTTATGCTTTTCGTTCAAAATTTTGACACTCCGCGTCTTCAGCAAGTATCATCGGAGTCTCTACAGTATCTTGAAGGGCGATAAAAATTAAATCCTTAATAAATTATCGCTCAATTTCATGCAATTTCCTTAAATGAATACCACAACAACTCCAATTCACAAAAAAGATTCTAAATTTAACTTAACCCAGGTCAAATCAATGTCAAACTTCGATTTTCACCACGAACCGTAGGTCCACACGCAACTGCTCAAAGATTCAACCTTTCCAAAACGTTTATATTAATTTATCAAGAAAACAACTAAATCAACAAAAAGACATTCAAAAGGTAACTATTTTTTGGAACGAAAGAGGATTGAACCTGAGACGAAGAGGTTGGTCGAGGGCTCAGCCGGAGGCTTAGGAGTCGCCGGAGGCGGCGGAGTGAAACCGGGAATGGAAGAGATCATTCGCCGGAGCCCCAAACGGCTCGCCGCAATCGCCATTTCTTTCTCTCTCTAAAAATTTTAGGTTTTAAGCTTTTTTCCCCCAGTTTTAGAGAGAGAGAGGGTCGGCGAAGCGTCCTTCAACGCATTGGTCGCTTAATAGCGAAACAAATGGTGGATTTGCGAAGTTACCAAATTGCCCATGATACTCGGTTGTAGTTAGACTACTGTGGACGTGATGACGGAAATACCCCTGAGATTTTTCCTGGGGTTTATTACAGGAGATTGGGTCGGGTTGAACAAAGCCCACCCGTCAAAACCCACGATAGTTGGCACTTAAATGTGTCCGAGTTTTAAAATAGTCTTTGTTAGAGAATTTTAAGCCTAGAGATTTTTCCTGGGGTTTATTTCAATTTTGAAGGCTAGGATATTATCATGTAGGATTCGGTTATTATCTAGGAAACCATTATTTTGTCTTGAAACCACTAATGCAATTCGAATAGTTAGACTCTCTCTAAATAGTAATTACCACTTAATTACATCTGAATCTGAAATAAATAGGACAGACGCAGAACATCTAAATCCGGGCCTATAAAATGTACAATAATTTGGGGAGTCCATAAAACAGAATAAAATCAGTTGCAAAAGGCATGAGCATAAATTAATGCGAGGTTCATATTTTTTTTGTGCGCTATTTGTAAAGCAATAAAACAACTTTGAATGAAAATATGCAATAGATATATTAAAGATAATAATAATGGTTAAGAAATAGATAACGTCAGATAACTCTTTGCAAATAGATTTAGGAGTTTGGCCTAAGGTAGATATCTGACTCTTCTGCAGACCCGATAACTTTATGAAAAAAACACGTAATACGTAGATTTTTTTTTTCTTTTTCCTTTTTTTTAAAACTTTATTTTTTTATTTAAAAAAATAAAACTAAAATATTACACATGTGATGATGACAAGCAAGTAACAAATAGTACCGTTAATCCTTTCTGAATTGTAAAATCCAACCGACGAAAAAAAAAATCTACTTGTTACATGTTTTTTTCATAAAGTTATCGGTCTACACGGTGTCTATATATACTAATCTTTTTCCATGAGTCTGGGCCTTCCAAGTGGGCCGTTGGTTTATGGAAAAGGCCTTAATCTTACATCGCGTTCTCAGACGACTTTGTAGAAGATAAAATTGTTTTTTAATAAATTTTTTTCATTGAATTTATACTTCAGTTGCCTTCTTTTACGAACACCTTTTCGAAGAATAACTTAATCCTAAGCTTTTGTCGGATAACTGTAAGGCTAACTTTCAGGGGTTTTTTCTATTTGATTTCGATTGTATAATGAGTATTCCATCCTTTTTTTCCTTGAATCATAAGATTCATAACTAAATTCAAATTTCTTGATTTATAAGAATCCATAGTAAAATAAAGCGCTTAGTTAATAAGAATTAGCAAAACATGTATATTCTATATTTTTATAGTATTACTAACAATAAGAAACGACACTTTTTTATCATAGTAATAGGGGTGTGCATTTTCTTTGTTGTTGCTTAGATAGCAATTTAATTATTTTTTATTTGATATCAAATAAAAAATAACTATAAATTGTTTTATCTATGAAATGATTCATCTGAACAAACCAAGTAATGACCCGACCAGTACTTAGCCAGGTCGGAGAAATGAACATTAACCTTATCTTACAAAATAAAAAGAGTCAAGTGAGATGTTTTTTCCTACACCTATCTATTCTATTTGAGATAAGATCACTCTTTCGAATCATTAAATTATTATCTAAATTGAATTACTGATACGTAGTTATATTATCTAATTTTCTTATATTAGAAGCTCCCTTGATTTTAGAGGTTATCAAAAAGATCCATTTATATTTTTCTTCCCAAAAAACCTTCCTAAAAGTGGGACTCCAAATTTTCGCTAACAAAAGTATGTCTATGTCTCCGTTTGAGGGGAAAAAAAGTCTATGTGTAAATGTATCCAAAAATTACCGGCAAAGCCGTTGGGGGATTTTCTAATAAAATATTAAAATTAAAAGGAATCTTCTGCTACGGGAGTTATCTAGTAAACGTCCAAAGTTTAGAGGGTTGTTTTTCCAAAAAATTTTAGCCTAACTCGAGTCACAAAAAATCTACTCCGTCCTCGTCGCAGTCAATTCATCCCCAAATCGGTTTCTCTCAGGTCCATCCGAGCATAGTTCTATTTTCCCAAAATACCCCTGCCTTGGCAGTGAAAATACACAGGGGCAATTAAAAGTTGGGTTATTTAGATATTCGCCCCTTACATATTCCGTAATTTCATATTAGTCCGTTAAATCTACAAAATTGCTCGTCAATCCCTTAAATCCTAGAGTTATTGCAGTTTAGCCCTCCTTAACCAAAATATCATCAGCTAATATTTTTGTGAAGAGTTATTTACGATTTTTAGCTCTAAAATTTACACTTTTCTGAGTTTTGATATCCCAAAGTTTCTTTTGACACTTTAGTACTCTGGAATTTATACTTTTTTATTTTGATACTCCAAAATTTCTTTGACACTTCGATATCTCAAAGTTCGCACATTTTTTCAACGGTTCATACCCAAAAGGTTCTGCATCTTTTTAACATTGATATCTCAAAGTTTACATGTGTTTAACTCAAAGCGTCAAAAATAAAACTTTAGGGTATCAAAGTTTAAGAATATATAAATTTTGTCATAACAAAACGGGCAAAATTTTTTTAAGGTATTAAAGTACAAATAGGTGTAAATTTTAAGGTATCAAAATATAAAAAATCTTTGAATATTAAAGGTAAAAAGATGTGACTCTTAGAGTACCAAAGTGAAAATAACATTTTTTTTCTTTATGGAGATGGGTTTTAAGGTGGAAAATCGTAACAAAGGGTTATTTTGGCGATTGAGGATTAAATTGCAAGGCCACTTAGACTATCTCCAGCAGGTGGTTTTTGGGGGTTTTTTTGACTCCAGCAGTTGGTTTTTTGAGTGGTGAACTGGAAAACCGAAGTCGGATGGATGAATTTTTCACCTTCGGTTTTTCTGACCGAGTGGGTCCCGCGAATTGTCCTCAGCCCATGCTTGGAGCCATGTGTCAAGGCTTGATTGGTTGGCCTTTTTTGTTTTACTCCTAATTTTTAAAAGATAAATTTTGGGAGATAAATACTAGGAATTAATTTATAATTTTTATAGCAATAATTTTTATTTTTTCACCTCTATAAATAGAGATTAGTCTTGTGTAATTTGGACACCAAAAAAAATCTGAGTTTTCAACACCTTATTCTCCTTCTCTTTGCTTTTGCTTCTATATTCTTCAAACTTTTTCAAATGGATCCTTCACAAAATTATCCTAATTTCTCCTACAATTTTCCTAACCAGCCTCAAAATACCAACCCTCAAAATCCAAATATGCAAGCCCCAGAAAATACTCAAAATGCTGGTATGCAACCCAATTTTCAAATGCCGTATATGATGCCACCAAATTTTGGCATGCAATACCCTTATCTTCCTTACGGTTATCATCCAGCTGCGGGAAGCAGCTATGTTCCATCCCATATGAATTTCCCTACCACGGAGTCGATTGAGCCACCGACACCCCGGTTCAGTAATAATAATAGTAGTAGTAGTAATATATATGAAATAAGAAAAAGAAATGAATAAATAAGGTGGAGTATATATGTTGGAGTGATGGGGTTATAGTGGGTCCCAAATAAAGTAAAATCATTTGAAAAAACTCCTGCTGTAGAGATGATAGAAAATGGAGATTGTTGAATTATATGGAGGGGGAATAAAGTGATGTGGCAGGAGAGAGAATGTTAAAATTTCGACTCCTGCCGGAGATAGTCTTAGCATTTGAGGGAGTAATATGGAATTATTAAAGAGTAGGGGGATTAAGATCTAAATTACCCTTAAAAATTTACAGAACAAAATAAATACTTCACAAAAAATGGGAAGAATTAAAGGACCTCGTCTTCTCCTCCGCCAAAGAGAGAGCGAGCGAGCGAGAGAGAGAGAGAGAGAGAGAGAACCCAGAAACGAAGAAAGCGAGCACGAGAGAGAAATTCTAGAGAGAGAAAGGGCGCGAAAAGAGAAAAAAAAAATCTAGAGAGAGGAAGCCAGATCTCTTTTCGATCCCAATTGAATCGATCTCGATTCTGTAAGTAACCTTCTTCCCCCTCCAATCAGCAACCCTAGGGTTTCGAATTGCCGCCCTCTTTCCATCCAATTCGATACCCTGCATTGTTTTCTTGTTCGTTTTCTTGTTCTTTGCGATTGGGGAACCCTAATTTTGTGTCTTGGGTTGAATTAGGGTTTTGTTCAGCATGAGCATCGAGAGTCCTGGCTGGAGAGCGAGGAGCTAGGGTTTTGAGCGCGAGGACTAGGGTTTCCATTCCATGGGCGATGGAGGAGTTACGCTGGCGCCGTCACAGCATGTCATGGACAGCGTATTCTCTTCAAAGAAGCCTGTGATGATGAGGAAAGGCGAAGGTAATTGTGATAAAGGCCGGAGCTCGGACGAGAAAGCGAGAGGTAGAGAGCTGGAGAGGAGAAAGAAGGGAGATTTGGAGAAGGGTGAGCTGCAGAATGGTGAATTGGAGCTCGGAGAGTTCATTCCTGAGAAAGGGGATTCATTGCCTGATAACAAGTGGAAGAAGAACAAGAAATGGGAACTGGAGAAGGGCGAGTTTGTGCTCGAGAGGAAAGGAGAGGTGAGTTCAGAACGATGGGGGAAGTGGGAAGTTGAGAAGAAAGGCGACCGAGGTCGAAAACTTGAGCTTGAGAACAAGGGACTGCATGGTTGGGGGAAATGGGATGCAGAGAAGAAAGGCGATGAAGCTGACAAATGGTCTGGTAGAGGAAGGAGGATGGAATTGGAGAAGGGTGAGTTTGTTCCGGAGAATAGCTATCGGAACAAAGGAGAAGGAGAGAGATTGGATTTTGGGTTGGGTAGAAATAGGAAGATTGAACTAGAGAAGGGCGAGTTTGTTCCGGAGAACAGTAGTTTTAGAAGGAAGGAAGGATCTTGGGGTGAAGCTGACAACAGGAAGAGGTCTTTTTCTTCAAACTGCGAATCAAAGAAGTCCTCTCGAGCTCCTGAAGAAGAACCAGGTGAGTTTAAATATGAATCCAGTAATGGGAAGGGCAGAGATAAGGAGTACTACTCTGAGAGCTGGCCAAAAAGGCATTGCATGGAGCCAGAGAGCAGCGGGAGGAAGTACCCTTCACAGATCACCAAGAATCGAAGGAAGCCTGAAGTGGATAACCCAACTCGCGCAAGTTACAGTGAGAGGGCACATGGGAATCCACCACCTTTTTCATCATCAAGAGTTTCTTTGTCCGTTAGGCATCCTTCTGCTTCTAGGCCATCACATGATAAGCAAAGACACCGTGATCACAGGGACCATACTCCAACTCACTCTGAAAGGTCTCCGATTGAAAGAGGTCGCTATCATGATCGTAGGGATCGTAGTCCAGCTCAACCAGAAAGATCTCCGATGGAAAGAACTCCGATGGAAAGAACTCGTCATTATGATATGAGGGATCGTAGTCCAGCTCACCCTGAAAGATCGCCGATGGAAAGAGTTAGGCCTCATGATTACCGGGATCAGAGGGACCGTACTCCAAGTCACTCTGATAGAGCTCCCTTGGATAAAGCTCGACATCATGACCACAGGGATCGTACTCCAAATCACTTGGATCGGTCTCCCTTAGAAAGAACTCGGTATTACGATTACAGGGAGCGGTCCCCACATGATCGGGGGCGTGCTGTTGATCATCGAGACAAGAGCAGAAAGAGTGGAGGGAGTGAGAAGCAGCAAATTAGTAGGTACGAGGAAAGGCATGGAAGAAGAGATTCTGGGGGGAGAGATACTTTTAAGAATGGTTCACTTAGGCAAGTTACTAATAGCAGTAGTCCTATTACCAGTTTTGAGAGAAGTGGTTCTGATGATAAGTCTAGCAGGAAAAAAAATTCATTTGAGTCTGCTAAGGAGCCTAGTGAACTTCCACCACCTCCTCCCTCGCCTCCGCCACCACCTCCTCCTGAGCTACCCCCTCCTCCCCTTCCACCACAACCGGAGAGTAATGGTGTTCTTGATGAACTGCCTTCTATGGAAGAGGATATGGATATATGTGACACTCCTCCACATGATACAATACCGGTTGATACAAAACCAGGTAAATGGTTTTATCTGGATTACTGGGGTGCTGAGCAAGGCCCATCCAAATTAGATGATCTCAAAAGGCTCATGGAAGAAGGACTCCTTCAGACTGATCATTTGATTAAGCACTGTGATAGTGACCGGTGGGTAACTGTTGAAAATGCCACTTCTCCTTTGGTGCAGTTGGATTTTCCCTCCATTGTTTCGGATGCTGTAACTAAGATGGTAAGCCCTCCGGAGGCTCCAGGGAATGCGCTAAGTGATACTGGAGATGTTAGTATGGACTCACCCTCACCTTTGGTTCAGGAGGAGTTGGGACATGATGATGAACCAGTTGCAGTGGAATTCAATGAAGAATTTCACATTAATGAGAGGGTTGATATTTTGTTAGATGGTTATAACTTGGTAGATGGCAAAGAGCTTGAAATAATTGGAGGTAATTTTTTGTTTACCTTTATGACTGTGGTTTTTATAAGCTGTTCTATTTAGGCTCTCTCATTTTTACCCTTAGGATTTCCACACAGCAGTGCTTGACCTCTATTTGGTTTCCTTTGTTTTTTTAACTGTGACAGAAGTGCTGAATGCTACTTTTGAGCCTGCGGACTGGGAGAATTGGGATTATTCTGAAGGTATAACTCTTATTTGGTACCTTCTATTTTTGCAATGGCTGTTCCTTTATGAGATGTACTATGATTTCTTATTTTTTGAATTTCTTTCGTAATTAAATATGAATTACCATTTGTGTTTGATGGTGAATAGGTTTGCCATGTTACTATTAGGAACATAGGTTGCAAGCTAATTTATTACTTTTTTCTTTATCTCAAGCTCGAGTATCTTGTTTTATAGTCCCAACTGGAGTTTGTTTTACTTCAGAAGTGGATAAGTCTGATAATAATATCATATAATTGCCATTTTCTAAAATTCAAATTGGGATATTTTATCAATAGAAAGTAAGATGTTTCACCATATAAATTAGGATGTTTTTTTAATGCCTTGTCACAAGGTTGTGGCAAGTACATATGAGAAATAGTGACAACAGTTCTGCGAAGGAAATGTAAACGTTCCACATTATGGCTGATAAAGCTTTATGAAGCAAAGATTCCAAATTTATATTTAACACAACCCATTTTGGATGCTTCGTCTGATAGGCATGATTTCATGCATCTCCTTGGTGTCTGTATTATTCTGTTAAACCGTTAGATAATTTTTCTTGATTATCTGAATACAACTTCTTGTGATTGTGCAGATTTTACAAGATCAAGACCTCGAAATCTGGAGTCTACGGGGAATCTAAGAGATGAGGGACTTAGTAGAGCTCATGAAGGCTTCCCAAGAGAAATTAATGAAATCCGACCTGTTGCCTCTCTTGAGGAATATGCCATTCTCAACAGCACTTCTAGTGATTGGTTTTCTGGCAGGTGGTCTTGCAAGGGTGGTGATTGGAAGAGAAATGACGAATCTGGTCATGATAGATCTTCAAAGAAAAAGATTGTCCTCAATCATGGGTACCCTCTTTGTCAAATGCCGAAGTGTGGGGATGACGATCCTCGATGGCACCGAAGGGATGATTTGTACTATCCTTCACGAACTAGAAAGCTTGAACTACCACCTTGGGCCTTCTCTTTGTCAGAAGACAACAGCGATACTAGCAATGACATCGATAGAAACACAGCTTCACGCCAATTGAAGCCTCCAATTCCTCGTGGTGTAAAAGGAACGAGCCTCCCAGTGGTTCGGATAAATGCCTGCGTAGTTAGGGATCACGGTTCAGTTGAATCTCACTCAAAACTGAAGGGAGATCGACACAGCCAAAGGTCTGTTAGGTCACACAGCTATAGGAGTTCATCTGTAGAGGGGTCTTCTTCTCATTCGAAGAAGTCTTCTGAACTCGACTTTCAAAGTCTCCACAAGTGCAGGACCGTCCTTAGCATACCCAAAGATCATGTTTGTACTGTTGATGAACTGGCATTAGATCTTGGTGATTGGTATTATCTGGATGGTGCCGGCCATGAACATGGTCCATCATCTTATTCAGAGTTGCAACATTTAGCTGCTAGAGGTACTATTATGCAAAATAGCAGTGTATTTAGGAAGGTTGATAATACATGGATTCCAGTTGCTGTGTCTGAAGCTGCCAATTCAAGAGAGGAAGTGGTGCACAGAGATGGTGATTCTACTGCTGCTTCCGACCAGATGGCCAGGTCATCTTGTTCTTTCCATGACTTGCACCCTCAATTTATTGGCTACATGCGTGGTAAGCTGCATGAGCTTGTCATGAAATCCTACAAAAACCGAGAATTCGCTGCATCTATAAATGAGGTTCTGGATCCATGGATTACTGAAAAACAGGCGAAGCTGGAAATGGATAAACACTTTGCATTTAATTCCTCAATCACTAAGAGTTCTGGCATTCTTGCTCATGGTTTGAAATCAGGTATGATATCCATTATTAGTGTGGCATGTCTTTTTCTTTTTCCATCTTTGCCGTGAAATGCGAATGTTCATTCAAATAAGTGGTTTCTTGTGCTTTCCCTCCCTCGATCCCTCCCTCTCTCTCTCTCTCTCTATTTTTTTATTACTTTTTTTTCTCGAGGAAATGCATGATCTATGCTTTGTTTCAAAATTAATGTCCAAGTGGCCTTGTGTTAATTGTTTACTACGGAAACTATATTTTCCGCTGTTTTATGACATCATATTTCTTTCCTCTTTTTTCTTTTTCCTTTTTTGACCAAAGGCCTAGCCCGCTACTACTTATTTACCTTTTTTTTTGTGGGTCAGGGTCTACTGGGCCCATTATACTGTTTCCAGCCCCCAAATATAACATGGGTCAGCCCAATCGAGGCTTGAAATTGGACTTGATTGTTGAAGTCCGGGCCTTTTTTAACATTTTAAGTGGGCCTGGATTCCTTTTCATTTCATCCCTTGAGCCTTTTGGATTGGCCCAGTTGAGTACATCCCTGACTGGAAGGGTAAGGGTCAAAAAGTCTGCTACTTTGGCCCAGCATGTTCAATAAGTTGAGTTCTCAGCTTCTGTGATGTCATTTCAAGAATTGGTGTTTATTTTGAAAGTTAAGTTTTCTCTTTAGACTTTCAAAACTTTCTAGTTCAGATACTTAATTTCTTGTCTGTCAACTTGTTTTCACATCAAAGCTTTGAAGCTCGGTGGATTTCTTTTTTTTCAATGATTTTTTAGATACTTGCATGCAACATATAAAAAACAGGTGTTTCTTTTGACCAACCTTCTATTTTTGCAATGGCTGTTCCTTTATGAGATGTACTATGATTTCTTATTTTTTGAATTTCTTTCGTAATTAAATATGAATTACCATTTGTGTTTGATGGTGAATAGGTTTGCCATGTTACTATTAGGAACATAGGTTGCAAGCTAATTTATTACTTTTTTCTTTATCTCAAGCTCGAGTATCTTGTTTTATAGTCCCAACTGGAGTTTGTTTTACTTCAGAAGTGGATAAGTCTGATAATAATATCATATAATTGCCATTTTCTAAAATTCAAATTGGGATATTTTATCAATAGAAAGTAAGATGTTTCACCATATAAATTAGGATGTTTTTTTAATGCCTTGTCACAAGGTTGTGGCAAGTACATATGAGAG